CGTGATGGTCTGTACTGGGACGGTTAACCGTGATGGTCTGTACTGGGCACCATCTTCACGCCAGCGAGAGACAAACGTTCCTCAGCTCGTCTTTATGCTCTGAGTTCTTGACCAACGCTGCTGCTGATCTGAAAGGCTCTGAATATAAAGTTACACAGTGAGTCTTATTGGAGGGTTTTAACTTCAAATAATTTATTTATTAATCTTTATTTAAATGTGCAGCCGGTTGTTTTTTCATAAACTGCATTTTGTTCAGATGAAGTTTCTTGACGTTGAAGACAACACCGCCTTGTGTCATGAGCGTTTCTGTCGACAACAGAATTTATATTTATTCTATATTTGTACAAACTCAGGGGCGTCTTTATGACGGACTTGTGCTCGGTAGTGGACAGCAGCGCTCTCACATTTGAAACTGAATTTAAAAAGAAAACCATTTGCTCGTTAAACTCTTAACAACTCCAAACAGCAGCTTTCAGCAAAAAACTCGTTTCACAACGTTTGTGTCGTTTCAAGAAGTTCCCAGTACGCTGCTGGTGGAGAAGCAGTTGTTTGCGGTTTCCTCAGACTGATGAAGCCTCTGGATGGAGGGTGAAACGTCTCAGCACAGAAAAAGAAACCGTCCAGGTGACCTGACTGAACAGTTGTTCAACAAGTCGTAGGTGAAAATGTTCATCAGCTCATTCCTGCTGTGACTTTTGCTACACGGGAAATTTGAGCTATGTTAAATATTTAGTCTTTTCTTCAGACACTTTACTGTCCAACAAAGTTCAGTCAGGTCCTCTGGACGTTTCTTCTGTCCAAACGTTTCGTCCTTCATCAGAGGAGCCACGTCAAGCTCAGTCCCACAAGCAGCACAATCACACGGTGGACCAACCAGGTGGTGCTCAGATGGTTCTGGAGGCCGTCGACTCTCCTCAGGCAGCCGTGCCGAAGTGGTTCAAAACATCAAAGTTCAGTCAGGTCCTCTGGATGTTTTTGTTGGTGCACCGTGGACTGATGAAGTCCTTTGGATGAAACATTTCAACAAAAAGAAACTGTCCAGAGGACCTGAATGAACTTTTGATTTTTTACCTGAATTACTGAGCATGAACTTTGACCTTTTCTGTTCATTCTTTTCAGCTTGCTGCTTATTTCTGTGACTTTGTGCTTTCTCAGCTATATTTCAGCTTTTTAAAAAAAAATAACTTTAGCTACTTTTATGTGCTTGTTCAGCCTCTTTCTACCAATTTGAGCTTTTTTTGTTTCAGTGTCCTGAGACGACTTCTGTGACTCGGTGCTACAGAAATAAAATTAATTTTATGCTGCTTACTTCAATTTTCAACTTCACCCATTTAACTTTTTATTTTGTTAATTCAGGTATTTTAGACTCGATCCAGCTTTTTGTGTTCAGCAGGTTCCTGCTACTTTTAGCTTCTGTTAATTTCAGCTACTCTTTTTATAATTTCAGCTTTTTGCAGCTGCTGGTGTAGCTGAAGCTGCAGCTCGTTCAGCAACAAGCATTCTCACAAGAGATGCAGTTTGTCAACTTACTGATCAGTTTAGAGGCACAACATTAAATATTTGTAATAACGGAGATCAGCTGGGCGAATCAATACTTTAACCATTAACTGAAGGTGTTCTGGTGCCGCTCATCGTCAATGATCCAATCCAGTGAATGAAAACAAACGGCGTGCAAAGCTTTTCTCTCACTTTAAAACTTTGTCAGAAATTCAGTGTAACTTATATACACTTTACAACAGCATACAGGCTGACGGAGAACAGAGAAGTCTTAAAACACGTGTAAATACATGTTCAGCACAAACAGCAAAGCTTGCAGGTAAAACGGCTCAATCTGAAAGAATCCAACACAAAACGCTCTTTCCTGCAGGAAAAGGTGCCACGATCCAAATGCAAGTCAGGAGGCGAGCCGTACGGTCCACATGCGAAGGTCGAAGCGTTTAGTGACATTCCACTAAACACATTGTAAAAAACAAAACACCATGTGTAACCTTAAACCTTCAATAATACAGTTAAAAGTAGGTCATGCCTTTTTAAAATCAAAAATAGTTTCCTTTTTTTAAGGACTTTTTTAAACAAGAAGCTGCATGTATTAAATTATGTACAATAAACTGATAAAACACGTTAAAAAACAAAGAGCCTGATGGAAAGGATCAAATGTCTCGCACAGATTATCCAGAAAATTCAATCAAAACGAGTCTGAGCGACGTCACGCTCTGTTTGCATAAAACATGCTGATGGGCGGCAGGTGCGTGAGGTCGTGCTCCGGGTCACGAGCTGGGCTTGTGCTGCCGTCCGGCCGTGGGCAGATTTTCAGGAGAAGGAAATAAAACGATTTAGAACGACGTTGAAAATGTACATTCATAGTCTGAACACGCATCTAAACATTCTGAACCGTTTCACTTTAAGAAAATGGAAACAAGTTCTGAAGAAAACCCATCGCTCGGGCAGACGTTAGTTTTTCAGAATTAGAACCCAGTTCAATTGGGGGGGGGGGGGGGGTGTCTGCAGAGACTGGAGGTCTGATTGTCTCGTTCCAGTTCATTATTTGAAGAGCACAACGCAACGGCTGCTCACGAGGTGTGTGGCTCTGTTCAGGCGGCCATTTTCATTTACACAAACCCAAGTCACATTAAATCAACATTTTTAATCTCAGGGGTTAAAAAATAAGCACTAACATCTGCTCGCCTCAGATTTTTTAATCCAAACAGAATTAATGGTTAGTTTGGCTCGAGTCCTGCCATAAAAAAAGCTAAAACTACATTCTCATGGTTACTATTCTTACAGATAACATTGTAACTCGTGTAAACAGAAGCGTCTGTCAGGCAGCTACAGGGACCGGTTCAGAGCAGCCGTGCACGTGTACGTGCACAGTACGGGCTCCGGCCACGTCACCACGAGCACACCTCCAACCAACGTGCTACATGAGTGATGCTGCCGCTCAGAGGAGCCGAGATGACCAGCACAACTCAGAAAAACTGATGTGGCCAGAACACTTGAAGAGGAATAAAATACTGATTACAGACGAAACATCTGGAAAAGCCTTTCTGTTCGACATCACCTTGAAAATGAACGCCCGACAACATTTACAACATGTCCGCCTAACGATTAAAGAGTCACGTATGTACAGTGAAGCAACAGAACAGAGTGAATGTAGTAAAAGGACAAATAAAGTCTTGGACTGAACTTCATTTGACGACGCAGTGGACTGTCGTTATTACGCACCACCCAAGTTCATTAAAAATCAAACGACCTTTACAAACAGAAAACGGTTCAAACACCATTAAAAAATTCTTTGACCAGAAATAAAAAACTGCAACCAAGAAAAGCTTGACAGAGCTACGGAGGAATGCACGGCAGCTCGTGGGTTTGTCCAGGACGGGTCGATCTCGTTCCACTCAACAGCACCAGGAGGTCGGTTTGGTTCAGGGTCCGTCTCCAAACCAGCACCAAGACTTCAGCTTTAATCGTGGACATGATCGGCTCCACTCCTCGGTCACATCTTATCCATCCTTCTCTTTTTTAAAGAAAATGACACCTACAATATTTTTCTCAAATGTTTTCGTGGTCATTTTTTAAAACAAAAAAGGCTAAAAATTTAAAATGGCAATGTTGGAGTCTGTAATCCAAAGAGAGGCTTTTCTTTAGTCTCTTCTACTCATGATGGTTTCAGTCTTCACACGCTGTCCTGTTGGGAGAGTCGGGTCGAGCTCAGTCGGGAGGTAAAAGGTCGTGAAGCCGAAACTTGTCCCGGACGTGAGGCCGAACGTCCTGGTTCTGACCGCAGCAGAGCGGAGGAAAGAGATGAGAAGGACAATGAGACAAATGAGACAAGAGTCAAACAGCTTCTTGTTCCTGCACAACTCACCATCTGAACCAGCATCTCCAGGAAGGGCACGAGCTTCAGCAGCTCGTTGTCGTTCTTGTCCATGAACCAGCTCTCGATGGGAATCCCGTTGGACAACTGGAGACAAAATGTTGCTCATAAGCAAGTTGTTTTCAGCTGGTTACGTTCGGCCGGCTACGTTCGGCCGGTTACGTTCGGCCGGTTACGTTCGGCCGGTTACGTTCGGCCGGCTACGTTCGGCCGGCTACGTTCGGCCGGCTACGTTCGGCCGGCTACGTTCGGCTCATTAGAAATGATTCAAATAAGAAACATGCTTGTTTCTTTAAAATTAAAATAAGAAAGTCCTTTAGTAATTTTTGCACCAGAATATTTTAAATGATAACATCCAGAAAACCTACAGATGTTGAAAGTAAAAACATAAAAACACATTTGTCCTTTTAATTGTTTTAAAGTGTTTACATGTGTAAATTCACTTGTTGGGCCCACAAAAGGCCCCGTGGGGGTGGGGGGTGGGGGGCAGGCCTACATCAAACATTCTAACAGGAGCAGCCAAATCAACTTGTAGCTGCAGAACATGATGTCGAGTGAAAACGCCCCCCCCCAAGAATCCAGCTCGCCCCCCTCCCTCACTGACCAGAGGGGACACATCAGAATCAGAATCAGAATCAGTTTATTATCGCCATGTCAATGAACGAGGTTCACAAACTAGGAATTTGCTTCGACATAAGGTGCGAATAGTAGTAAAGTAAAATAAAGTAAAAATAAAGTAAGAATTATGTAAAAATGAGAACATTACATAAGACATAAGCCTGTGTACACCCACAAATAAAGTAAAATTAAAAACATAACATAACCATATGTACACCCATACAATAGAAAACAATAAAAAGGCTTAGAGAACAGTACTGGGATGATGTGCTGCTTCAGCCTGATGAGGGAGGAGCTTCCAAACAGGAACAAGGACAGAAGAAGAGCCCCTCACAGCCACGTGGAGGACACGTTGTGGAGACCTCCACCCAGGACCAACCAAAGCACCATGTTGGTCCAGGGCTCTGGTTCAGCTGCAGCTCCCACCGCAGTCGGTGCCACAGCTGCTGGAGCTCTGTGCTCCTGGGCCAGGAGTCGGAGCGTGTCCAAACCAGGCAGATGATGAGAAACAATAAGACGAGGGTGTGCCTGCTGCAGCCTGGACATCAACTCTGATCATTGAGGGCTTTCAAACGTTTCTCTCTGACCAGATCATGTTGGAATAAAACGAGTGAATCCCACTGAGCCCCAGGGACTCTTTTACAACAGAGACCTGATGCCGGCATGCTTTGTTCCCCCACACCTTTTTACATTCGACCTTTCTGTCCTTTTACTATTGGGAGCTCTGAATGAGTTCAGAAGACTTATGGACATAAAACAGCAAGGAACTGGGGTTACGGGGCCCCACCCTGGAGACAGGCCTGGGGGAGGGGCTCGTCGGAGAGTGCATGCGACCAGGTCTCCACCCATGGGGCCCGGTTGGGCTCAGCCCGAATGAGCAGCATGGGTTTGCCTTCCTGTGGGCTCACCACCTGCAGGAGGGGCCACAAAAGGTCAGGTGCATGATGCCATGGGCAGTGGCCGAAGGCGGGGGCCTTGGTGCTCTGACCCCGGCTTATCAAAGCTAGTAAGTAGTAAAGTTTATTTATAAAGTGCTTTTAACGGACGTAAAATCACAAAGATCTGAAGAGCAAAGAGCAACATTAATACGTGGAAATTTTACTAAAACAAGTCGATATTTTCAGCTTGAATTCTTCTTTGTTCTCAAAACGTACAATGATTCTGCTCTCCCTAATATTCTCTTTGCTCTCTCAAATCTTCTGCTCTCCCTAATATTCTCTGTGCTCTCTCAAATCTTCTGTTCTCCCTAATATTCTTTTTGCTCTCTCAAATCTTCTGCTCTCCCTAATATTCTTTTTGCTCTCTCAAATCTTCTGCTCTCCCTAATATTCTTTTTGCTCTCTCAAATCTTCTGCTCTCCCTAATATTCT